TCTTCTTCAGCTTCTCCCATTGCAGTATCATTGAAGCACGCACCATCGGGAATAATATCATTGTCGTCCCATTGTTCTTCTTCACCTTCTTCCATTACAACACCGGTTTCTCCGTGCTTTGTCCAACAAATATAGTTTGGCATGAAACTCGACTTGAACAAGTGTGAATGAAGAGTCCTTGAGCAAGGATATTCCACCGTATTCTTACATATGGCACATGGGCAGCACATGAAACCATCGCGTTTGTTTGCCTCGGCCATACGTAACAAAGAATGCACGCCAATCAATGAACTCTTGGGAGCGGCGATCAACATTATACATCCAATGACGGCTCATCGCATTACATGACATAAATACCATATTAAAACCTAGATCATAATTAATTATTTATACAACATGCGTGCCACCACAAAAGATACAAATTTATGAAAGCATCGCTACAATGTAGACAATCCCAACTACCACTAAAAGAACTAAAGCTAAAATACATTTCAAGATAGCGGTAGGATTTCACGACCAATCTCAACTAAAATGCAGACAGATCCCCGATTGTGCAACATCTTTGGGCTTCTTCGGCCGGATCACGCCTCATTAGCCGTCGTGTCTGCACAGTTGCAAGATATTTTTGCACGAGTCCAACATACTCTTCCTCCCAAAGAGAAGCTTTGAACATCGTCCCACTTTGCCATCCCACTTGAAATTAAAACAAAAAATTAGAACTTTAATCACAACCATCATGAAAATAGGTATAAACTAACCATAATCATTAAATACGATAAAATAACTCACATTGCGATCCGGACACTTGTAGAAGATACGATCCTTGTTGGGACCCTCCTTCTTCACTCGGTACTCCATCACAATCTTCGTCTCATCACGACACTTGCCGCATGGAATGAGAGGGAGGCCCGGCCTAAGTCGCTTTGAAACCCATGAGAGGTCGAGGACCCGGAAGCGATTGCCATCTACTCTCTATACTCATTTTTTAATACACTATAAATTTCTCCTTTTATAAACAAATAAAATTAAGAAACTATAAAATTATCTAGATCTCTAAACAATGATATTTTTAATGGTCATTGTGTTCTCGCTTTTTCTTTATGGCGGTAAGTAATTCACATGATATTTACGCAAATTAACGGAAGAATGGGAGTGTACACACATAACGACTCATCTTGACGATATCGGGACGTGTGAATAAATAACCATCCATACTAGTTGACCTTGCTTACGTGATCATCTCGTGAGCATTTCTCCACCGGACGGCACCGTGCCTTGCCACGAAAGAGCTCCAATTCTACGAGGAAGGGAACACGGTCTTCCACGATCGTTGCCGCTCTCCCTCGTAGAATCAAAGCTCCTCCTTGACGTCCGTTACCGCTCGGCAGAGAACGTGCTCGCCGAGATGAACACGGTCCGCAAGTTCAACTAGCTACTTTAACCTTATTTCATGTAAATATGCAAGCTTGAAGTGATTTTGAGCTCAAATTGCTTACAAATGAAAAAAAAACCAAAATAAAGAACCATATATATATAGTGAACAAAATGAGATAAGACAATGGTGAAAAATAAGAGTATGAGATTGGTAACCTTTACAACTGAAGAATCGACGGAGGAATCGAAGAAATTGATGGAGGAATCGAATAATGGATGGAGGAACAATGGAGGGAGGGAGGAAGCAAGAACACTACTGCAGTGAGCTTCAAAATGTGCTGAGCTCGGGCTCGGGGAGGAAGGAGGAGCCGGCCGGGATATAAAGGGGGGACCTTTAGTCCCGGCTGGTGGCTCTAACCGGGACTAAAGGTAACTTTCCAACCCCGGACGCAGCCACGGCCCGGGAGTAGACCTTTACTCCCGGTTGGAGCCCTCAACCGAGAGTAAAAGTATACCTTTAGTCCCGGTTGGTGGCTCCAACAAGGACTAAAGGTCACTGCCACCTCTGTCTGGCGCAGTAGCCGTTGGGGCAGGGACCTTTAGTCCCGGTTGGAGACACCAACCGGGACTAAAGGTATTTCTAATCCCGGGCGCAAAAAATTCCAGGACTAGAGCCCATTTTAACCGAGGATCAAAGGCCTGTTCTCTACTAGTGGTACGGACACCACGCCACCATGCATGTAGTGCGTGTGTGCGTGCGTATAATTTGTAGTGCATGGAACGACCGAGGTGTAAGTTTCTGGGAAGCAGGCAATCAGCAGCTAGTGCTTTGTATGCCGCTCGTTACTGCTTGTCTTTGCTCACAACGTCGTGTCGATGGGGACGCCTATGTGTAGTATATCCGCTACAACTGTCACGGCCGGAAACTACAGGGGGCCTATGACGCTCGAGCTGAGCATCTGCTTGCTTCCTTAGTTCCAACGCCGTCCGGCGCTGCAAAAACTACGGACACGGCATTCTGCGAGGAAACGTACATATTCCAGGCCGGAAGTTTCGCCCCGAGTTCGGAACCATATGCGACAAACAGATCATTTCGGATGGTTGCTTTCATAACAGTGTAGCCGTGGTGTGTGTTTCTGTGTATGGTTGCTTTCATAACAGTGCTGTCATCATGGTACAATTTTGATAAACTTGTGTGAGTGGTGTTACTCGGACTGATTTTGAGTCAAGTCGTGAACTTGTGCTTGCATGCAGCTTGTGTTTTATTTACGTGGAAGTGTTGAGGCGGAACGTGGTCGGACTAAAAAATCCTAACTCAATGACACATCTGTTGTAAAACCTTTTGGAGTTAGCACGCTTGCGAAGAGGGTGAGAAAAGCTACTGAAAAGGGTTTTAGCATTCATCGGAAATGTCCGGTGGGGTCACCGAAGACCCCACCGGAGCTTTAGTGAGGATGACAGTTTTTTTTGTTGAAAATTCAGGTGTTCATGTTGCTTTCTGGTGCTCATCGGAGAGATGGCACCGGAGTTTTATAACAATGCACTAACAAAGCGTCGGGATTTTGAAATGGGCCACCGAATACCTCCGGTGCTGGCACCGGAGTGCCCACCAGAGTGTGGCTAGGTCCAGAGAGCTCGTTTTTAGGGGTTTCAAGTGTTGTGCTCACCAGAAACTTCTGATGCCCTTCACCAGAGGAAGCGCCGGAGCAGTGGAGCTCTAACAAGTTAACGGATAATTGGAAGTACCCGTTGGGGATAACTCTGGTGTGAGCTCTGGTGCTCCACCAGAGCTCTTGGGCTCTTTATATATGGGTGTGGCTGTCCATTTTGCCTTCTTGCCACACTTGGCTGATATCCTAGCACCCATACAGCTTGAGAAACACTTCCCAATCACTTGCATAGCTTGAGATCTCATTTGTTTAAGATTGGGAGATTTCTCGTGCATTGCAATCGAGTGTTTGCATCTTGTGGCACTAGGGGATTCGTTCTCGCTGAGGAGCTCTTGTTACTCTTGGCGATTGCCGCTACTACCTAGACGGCTTGGTGTCATGGTGGATCGTTGAACACCATTTGGTGATTGTGCGGGGGACTCCGATCGGTACCTTGTGAGGGGCTTTGTGCTCATCTCCGCGGGAGTTTCATGAAGAGCAACTCTAGCGGATATCTCGAGGCTGGTGATCCATCAGCTTCCACACGTGGAGGGGCCGAGCTTGTGTACTTGCAAGGCTAGTGAAGCGGTGATGTAATAGGATCTGCCTCAATAGGGACATAGGTTGCCGGCAAGCCATCAAACCTTAGGGTAAATCTTTGTGTCACTTTCCTCGTTGGTTTCCTCACTACTAGTTGTGTATTTACATTTCATACTTGTGCTTGTAATACGTAGCTTGACTAGTGATAGTGATAGCTTATTAAGTAGTGTAGTTGTAGCTCTTCTAGTGAGCAGAAGTAACTTAGTTGCTTTACTTGTGTAGCTCACTAATTATAATTCTTGCCTCTTGTAGTTAAAGTGGTTTAGTTGACTTAGATAAACTTGCTACTAGAATTGTGTAGGATTGCTTGCATTGGAGTGAATAGGCTAGGTAAGTGGTGTATATTAGGGTTGTCTTTTATACTAATCAGCTTGTCTAGTGTCTTTGATATTTGTAGAGTTTTAATGGACTATTCACTCCCCGCTCTAACCATCTAGAGATCCTTTCACTCATGGGGATTAACAATTAACATATATTCTATGAACACAATAGTCTCCATTTATAAAATTTGATGGTCGGGGCTCTCAAGGATTAGATGGAACCTATGTTAGAAGACTCACTAAGAAAACTGATAAATGATAAACTTAATAATATTCGGCTAAGAGCAACTCCAACAAGTATCCTACTTATTTTAGGCCCTCAAACTCATTTTTTGAGAGCTAGAGCAAAAAAAAAGTCCACAAGCCCCTACTTGGCTCTCAAATGAGGTAACCAAGCTCTCATTCCCATATGCCCTACTTCAGACCCTCATCCTCTACATAGAGTACATGACCAAAGGGAGAGAAATAAAAGTACGACTTGATTTGAAGTCTGCTGTTAGAGTTAATAAGCTCAAAAAAAGGGCCCTTGAAAGTAGAAGAGCGCTCAAATCAAAAGTAGCAGCCTTGGTACCATTGCTGGAGTTGCTTCCATTCAAAATATTTTCCATTTGCACATTTGCAACGGTGCGTGACAGATAATCAAGGAGGGAATGTGTGTGTGTGTGTGTGTGTGTGTGGTGGTGGTGGTAGTGGTGTGTGTGTGTGTGTGTGTGTGTGGGGGGGGTTAGAATTACAGATTTATCAGCAACATGAGTGCTAGATCACTGAAAGAAACATTATAAAGTTTAGTCTCAATAGCAACTAGTTCAATTTAGTACTATTATTAAACTAGCTAGGAAGGCATCTCAGGTCCTCGACTAAAAAACAAACGAGAGGATTAAAAACTTAATCACACAATTGCACATATCATGTGACACACTATTAACAAAATTCTGAGAGAAGAGGGGGGAACCCAATTTCGTCTCCACTGGTTACCACAAAGGAGGGCCATACATTCTGAAATAAACACAGGCTGAATTTGCTTAATCTTTCGTGCCACGATCGTGCCGCCGACCGGTCAGACGTAGGCGATGTCGTCGTTGCTTGCTGCCCTGACCCGGAGCCTGGTGGAGACGACGGTGGCGCACACGGACAGGAGCATGCCGATGAGGAGGAAGACGATGGCGATGATCCCCTTCTGGTAGTACTTGACGAGATCTTGCGTGGCGTCGTCTCCCCATCGCGAGCCATGCTTGACGTACTCCAGGACGTCGTCAGTGGCGCCGAAGCCCGCGCCGACGCCGCTGGCCAGCACCACGGTCACCACCTGCAGCAGCAGCAGCATCTGTGAGTGTGACACGCACGTACGATCGCAAACACCGCTATCAGCAGAGACCATGATTGAAACCCATGAGTGGAGTATCTACGCGATCGAGAGCACGTACAATGTCGGCGTACATACTGACGTCGAGGATGAGGGATCTGGACGTCATCCGCTTGCTCCTGCAGAGGAGGTAGACGGCGACGGGGATCTGCAGCACGCTGCCCGCCATCCCGACGACCGCCGCGACCACCGCGTACCTTTTTAATTTCCGATAGCACACGCAGCATACACAAGAATTAACCGTTTCAGCAAGCCCTGGAGTGTACTAAACTACTAATAAGCTGTATCCACGACGCCGGCGCCGGCGGAGACGTATACGTACGTGTAGCTCTGGAGATCGTTGTTGTAGCCGGCGGCCTTGAAGTCGTAATGGACTCTGTTCGCGAACCTCGACTGCACGGTCATGGCCAGGACGGCGATCATCAGCAGCCGCGCAAGCAGGCCGGCGGCGATCCACGCCGTCCTCGACAGCGCCATCTGCTCGATCTCTCCCTCCCTCACTGGCTTGCTACGGACGGCGCGGCACACAGGAACATGCTTGGGGCCGCGCGTATTTGTAGTTTTGATCGAGGGATCATCGACAGAGACAAACGTTATCCTGGGGCCTTTGCTCGTATCGATCAGGCCGCCAATCCGCTCCATCTGTCGCCCGGATGTTGCTTGCTTGCTTGCTTGACGCGCTCGGCTCGACCGGGGGTGCATGCTTCCAAAACTGCGGACACGTCAAGGACGATGGTGCAAACAACTTGGAGAAAAATTCGGATAATTTCCAGGAAATACGAATAGCCATATTGTCTCATCTTCATCTAGGCTTTCAAACGTTTTTCTTAATTAGCTCTATCTTTTTTTTTCGCGGCCGGGACTTCACCCGTTTTTCATTAAGAGAGATAAAAGTTTAAAACGGTACAAACCAGTAACTGATGGCGGCGAGTCGCCAACATCAGACCACCAGCACAACACAAACCTAACTACTGGAACTCAGACATAGGCATTACATATTCGCAGAATCTTGCGACCAGACTTGAGCAGTTTCTCCAACAGGCAATAGAGTTCAGACAGCGGTCGCAGGCCGTAGCACCTGCTGCCTTCTTCCTGGGAAGAGTACCTGCATCACTTCTCCAGCCTCTCCCGTGAGAGCCACCTGGAACGCCGCCTCATGGAGCTCATCGAACGATGCCTCGTCCGGCCGCTCGGTGTCTACCTCGTAGCCCAGCTTCTTCATGAGCACCTTCCGTGCCTGCGCGTCGGGCTTGTTCTCCCTGTACCTGCTATTCGCCGCCAGTCGTGCGCTCCGCCTGGGAACCCAAAGCAGATCTTCATCCCTGCATGCTTCCTTGGTGACGCGCAGCTGTGGGGTGTTTAGCAACGACTGTTCGAGCGGCTTCTTGAAGGAGGTGATGAAGTCGTCCACCGACACCTGCGCCGCGTGAGGCTCCGCCGTGGCCACACGATCAAGGATCCCGTCAACGTCTATCGCGTGGACGGGGGAAGTGGCAGCCGGGGCCGTAGCGATGTCGACAGGCAATGGGCGTGCTGGCGAAGATGGGCCTGTGTCTAGGCCAGACGAGTATAAGTCTATCTCCATAAAGGAGCTTGAACGATGTACCTCCTGGGCCGTGCAGCTTGGGTCGAATTGGAAGGCCAGCCCATCCACCTCTGCCCTAGTGCACATCGGGCGGCCCATGAACCTGGCATGATCGTCCTGAATCGATCGTGCTCGCGTGCCTCCGCTGCAACTGAAGGAGCCGCCATTAGCCCTAGGGTCACAGTCGATTGCCTGGACCAAGGGCTCCCTCGTGACAACAGCAGCTTTCGGCGTGGAGCAGAGCAGAGCCTCGACACACATTGGGTCTTGAGCCTTCGTCTTGACAGGAGAGAGTGAACGGTCCGCGCATGGACCGAGGTCAACTTCCCGGCCCATGCTCCCCTTGACACGCGTCTGCAGCAGCACGGGAATCCTGCTGCCAGGCGCGAAATCCAGCGACTTGACAGGGCACGGGACCTGCCCGACGTTGATGACGCATGCCGCCCCACGTGGCCTGAAGGCCGGCCTGGCCCCACGTCCTAGACGTGGGACCCGTTCGCCGCCGAACCTCGATGTTCACGGCCGCGCGCCGGCGCCGCCGCGATCGCAAAACCCCGGCCAAAAGCCGTTGTAATTGCTGTCGCCGCTGTCGCTGTCGGAGTTGTCGCGCCGCCAGTAGTCGTCGTCGTCGGACGGTGGAGGAGTATGCCAATCCTGATACTCGACCACACGGAGGCGAACCAAGTACCTCATGGCCGGTGCTTCGTCGTGAATGATTTCCTCAGGGCGGAGGAAGAGGGGTGGACCGCCGTCATGCTCCCCCTCCTTCTCTGGCACGGCCATGATCTTCTCATCAGGGACTAGGTCAGGATGGGCGCACCAGGTTTCGACGAACAGCTCACGCTCATCATCGGGGTCAACGACAGCCCCGTCGTCCGCCAACTGAACATGAGCACACGACGAACCGAGGATCCTTTGAGCCGTTTCTTCCGATCTTGCATGCGCCGGGATGCCCTTCATGCCCACCAGGACACGATACCTGAAGGACCCCGCGGTGGCCCTGATTAAGCGCGACCATGGACGCCACCGCAGAGTGAACGGAGCCGACAAAGGTGGTGGCGTACCAAGGACTAGGTCCAGGTCCTCCCGACGGGTGAACCGGACGATGAAATCGTCCGGCCAGAAGCGACGAACGGTCGCCATATCCTCTCCAATGCCGAAGGACTGCTGCAGGTGTTCGCGCACCATGGTGAGGGATACCGGAGGCCGCGTGCCCACCACCATAGCGACCAGTGCCAGCGAAGCAAGGGCATCCTCGGCCTCCTGCATGGCCGCCGAGCGGGGGATAACCACCATCTCCAGGAGTGGTTCACGCGCGCGAGTTCTTGGCGACGCCGGCCGTTGTTGTACATGACGAAGAGGAGGAACGACGACAGCATGTTCCGCAGGCGGCTCCTCCAAAGCGCCCCCCCTCCCCCCCGGCGCCGTCGCCTGAGGCCCGAGGTTCAGAGCCGTCGCCCGTGTCCAGCGGCCCGTGAGAGTGAGCGGACTGCGCTGCGGGCGCTGTATCCTGGTGCGACGAAACCTGCGGCGGAAGCTCCGGCGAAGGCGGCTCCGGCGTGGCCGACGCAGCGCGCTCGGTGGACACCGAAGGCGTGGGCCCATGGTCGGCGCGGGGTGGGTCGCGGCGACGTCGCTGGATCGCCGCCTCCCAGCTACTCCGTGCACGTTTCGGCGACCTCCCACGCTTCCCCGGCCAGCGCTCGACAGATCGGGCACGAGGGCAGTCCCGAGCCTGGTGGCCCTCCTGGAGGCACGTGAAGCACCTGGAGGGAAACGTGCAGTTGATGCGCACATGGTCCTTCCCCAAGCAGTTGAAGCACAGGCCGACAAGGTGCTCCGGCACCGGCCGGGCCCTGTGTGTCGGAGACGCACGACGCCACCGTCTTCTACTCTCGACCGTGCGGAACCCATCAGCGTCCGGCTCCGCGTTCATGCGCGCCGGGTGGCCGACAAAGGATCTCAACCTCACCTGCGCCGCGCGAACTGGACGAGGGACCTCCCTCCGCGCCGCGCGAACTGGGCGAGGGGGTTGCTCCCTCCGCGCCGCCGCCATGAAACCCGAAGGTTGGGCGCGAGGGCGGCTGCTGCGCAGGTGACGACGGGGAAGAACAGGATCCTTGCCGCGACCTGGCGGCGGCGGTGGAGACGAGGCATCGGAGTCCCCCAGGGACTCATCGGAGTCAGAGAAATGAAGACGCTCCCCCGGAGAAGTGGAGAACGGCTCGGCGTCGGGGTTGAGCGAACTTGTGCGCAGAACCTGGGCGGCATGCGCCGCTCCCGCAAGCGGGGGGAGCTGCGGGGGTGTGGTCTCCCCGGCAGCGTCGGCGGCCTCCGCCTCGTCACACACATCCGCCCAGGACCGACGTGAAGGGGAGCATATCATTTTTTATGGATCTTCTTACGTATGTTAGAGGTTTATGTTGAGTTTTTTTCTTCTACTGTTTGCTGATGTCCGCACATACGTAACACGCCAAGCCTCAAAGAACTATTTAGACGATTTTCAGTAGTTCCAAGGACCTGATTTTAGGTAAACAAGGGACCTTCAAATGAGCAGGGGAATCTCACATTTGCTCTCAGCTGACGACACTGCTCTTCGATCTTTTGTGCCGTGGGTGAACAAGCCGAGCATGTGAAGGAAGCCTTACCTCGATACATATGCAAGATGTACAGGGCAGCTTAATTATTGACCCGTCATAGTGGTCCATTGTTATGTCTAACCTGAAAACTTCAGCTCTGAGAACCAGGAGCAGAAGGTCAAACATGTCCTGGAAATAGAATTGGCCTCTTTTGACTGCAAATATATACTCCGTATCTTGGCCTACCTACTCTGCAGGGGCGAATGAAGAAAGACAATTGAAGGAACGACTAGGAAAAGCATATGAAGGATTATACAGAAAATAACATGTCCAATGGAGCAAAGAAATCTTGACAAGGGTGGTTTGGGACAAGCTGGCCCTAAAGAAAGGCTGTGGAGGGGAGGTATTGATAGAATGATAGATATAAAACAACTAGTGTAGGGCGCGCGCCATCGCGAGCACGGTCGTGTAATTATCCAGGGGATGGTAAGGGTGATTTAGATGTGGAATTTCAAGGATGTGGCATGTTTGTTCCGGGATTTCATAGCTAAAGTACAGAGAACCATAAATACGAGGAACGATTACAGCACATTCAGTTTGATGCATATTATATCAGTACGGGTAGCATACATGACTATTTTAAGTGTCTGGATAAACAGGCATATAAGTCCGCGATAGCGCCAGATGGCTCTAGCTAACTAATGGTAGATGAAATTGCAACGGCCTGGCTATTATACAATCAACAGGCCTGGAAATTGGTTTTATGCTTCTTTGTACAGTGGGAAATATGACCCATCTTGTAGGTGTCAGGTATGACCCTGCGCATGTTGCAAAAGGGTGAGGCCGCTACCTTCAAGTGCCGTGACCTGCTTTGAGGGAAAGTAAAAACTGTTGACTGAACAAATAATTGTATTGGAATAGAATGGCTGTATGGCAACGAAGCTGTTTAGTTCTACATTAACCATGGTATTGCTTCAGTGTTATCTTAAAAGGAATCTAATGAACTTTTTAAGAAATTTAAAAGTTTCACTAAGTAAGGAATCTGTTGTGTGTTTTACAATTACCAAGTATGTAGTCTAAGAAACAGTTGGTTGCATATATATCAGAGGTACCGAAGGAAGAGTAAGAACGGACATCAGAAAGTATATGTAGTTTCAGATTATTAAAAAATAATTGTATGAAAGCAGTATATTAGTGGCTGATAATAAGACTATGTGCATGACCAATGAATCATATAATGCCTTGAAAACAAAGGTAAAATGGTTTACCAAATTCCGAGATAGTAAAGACTATGAAAACGGTAGAGCAGCAAT